TCCTCCTGGCCCGTTACCAGCCTGGTTGCTTTTAAGAGCAGGATGCAGCGATGCTGGGGTTGTCCTTGCTTCTCCCTTGGTCATCTCGCAGATTCGCAGCCCCAGCTGCTGAGGGAATTGGTTCTCTGTTGCTCAAGAGAAAGAAAAAGCCCCCAGCACAAGAGGGATGTGGAGCTCTTCAAGAGAGTCCAGAGGATGGCCAAAAAGATGCTTCGAGGGCTGAAGAGCTGGGGTGCACCTGGACACCCCTGTGTGGATCGTGGAGCACAGCGTGTGCAGGAAGGCCCTGAAACCATGCACATCAGTGGTAAGGGCCAGAGGTATGTGGGCTCCTGGACACATAGAAGGGGGGATTTGGTGGGATTTTCAGCAGCCCCCGCCTGGATTAAATGCCTGGGATTGGGAGGAATGTGTGAGCTGAACTGAGCCACCCCCCCATCAGGCTGAGACCCTTGTAGATGAGATGCAAGGATGAGAGATGTCAGTAAGTGCAGTCATCAGCTATTTATTCTGGTTGTTCATGCAATACATCAGTGTGAAGAAGAAAGGGAGACCCCCCACCCGCCACCATTACCCTGCAGTAACCACAGCACAACTCAGCTGCTTCAAAGCCTCTGCTCAGCTGTTAGGGGAACAGAAAGGTGCAACCAAAAGCTCTGAGTCTACAGGATTTTTTTGGGTTAGCTTTTGGTGTTGTTTTTTTTTTTTTTCTCCCAGCCTTGAGGATTTTAAGGCCCCAATGAGATTGAGATACTGGGAGTTTTTAAGGGGTTTTGCCTTGCAGAAGAGTCATGCCACAGGGTAGAAGAGATAGCAGGGACCTAAAGGATAGAGGGACCCAAGGAATCCAATTAGAGCAGGAAAATGAGTACTGCATTATGGCAGCTGGACATAATGTGGAATAAGGTGGATAGTCATAATGCAGGAAGGCAGAAGCTTCAGGTACTGCAGTAACTGCCTGCCTACCCACAAGCTGAATATGGTACATGGAAAACCCACTTGACACCCTCTCAGAACACCCTGTTAAACTGTGTAGAGATTCCTCTCACGTGTTTGTACTGAGGTCGTGGCACCTCGCTCTTCCCTTTCACGTGCCTGGCGGTGGCGACGATCATAGACCTCAAGGTCCAGCTCCCGTTGGCGCTTGACCCTTCTCTCCCACGCGGGCTCTTCAATCTCTCTTTCCCGGTAAACCCTTCTCTCCTCCTCTGCATCAAGACGCTCCAGGTCACGCTCCCTCCTTTCCAGATCCCCACTGGCCTGCAGTTCCCGGGACACGCGATGGATCTTCACATCAGCTTCTGCAGCCACTACATCCGTCTCTCGTGTCCTCTCAAGCCTCACAAGGTCGCGTTGCCTCCTTCCATCGATTTCAGCCTCATGTTCTTCAAAGTCACGTCTCACTCGTCTCTCCCGTTGGCTGGTTTTTGTACCTCGCTCTTCCCTTTCAAGTGCCTGGCGGCGTCGACGCTCAATGACCTCCAGATCGAGCTCCCGTTGGTGCTTGACCCTTCTCTCTCTCAGTGGTTCCTCCCTCTCTCTTTCCAGGCCAAGTCTTCTCTCTTCCTCTGCATCCAACAGCTCCAGGTCACGCTCCCTTCTTTCAAGCTCCTCCCGGGGCTCCAGTTCGCGGGACACGCGATGGATCTTCACGTCAGCTTCTGCTGCCACTACATTGGCCTCTCGTGTCCTCTCAAGCCTCACGAGTTCTCGTTGCCTCCTTCCGCTGACTTCAGCCTCACGTTCTTCAAAGTCACGTCTCTCGCGTCTCTCTGTCTGGTTGATGGTGGCACCTCGCTCTTCCCTTTCACGTGCCTGGCGGCGTCGACGCTCAATGACCTCCAGATCCAGCTCCTGTTGTCGCTCGACCCTTCTCTCTCGCAGAGGCTCCTCTCTCTCTCTTTCCAGGCAAATTCTTCTCTCCTCCTCTGCATCCAAACGCTCCAGGTCACGCTCCCTTCTATTGACTCTGTCACGGGGCTCCAGTTCCCGGGACACGCGATGGATCTTCACGTCAGCTTCTGCAGCCACTACATCCGTCTCTCGTGTCCTCTCAAGCCTCACAAGGTTGCCTTGCCTCCTTCCATCGATTTCAGCCTCATGTTCTTCAAAGTCACGTCTCACTCGTCTCTCCCGTTGGCTGGTTTTTGTACCTCGCTCTTCCCTTTCAAGTGCCTGGCGGCGTCGACGCTCAATGACCTCCAGATCGAGCTCCCGTTGTCGCTTGACCATTCTCTCTCTCAGTGGTTCCTCCCTCTCTCTTTCCAGGCAAATTCTTCTCTCTTCCTCTGCATCCAAACACTCCAGGTCACGCTCCCTTCTTTTGAGTTCCTCCCGGGGCTCCAGTTCGCGGGACACACGATGGATCTTCACGTTAGCTTCTGCTGCCACTACATCGGCCTCTCGTGTCCTCTCAAGCCTCACAAGGTCGCGTTGCCTCCTTCCGCTGACTTCAGCCTCACGTTCTTCAAAGTCACGTCTCTCGCGTCTCTCTGTCTGGTTGATGATGGCACCTCGCTCTTCCCTGTCACGTGCCTGGCGGCGTCGACGCTCAATGACCTCCACATCCAGCTCCCGTTGGTGCTCGACCCTTCTCTCTCGCAGAGGCTCCTCTCTCTCTCTTTCCAGGCAAATTCTTCTCTCTTCCTCTGCATCCAACAGCTCCAGGTCACGCTCCCTTCTTTCAACCTGGTCTCGGGGCTCCAGTTCGCGGTACACACGATGGATCTTCACGTCAGCTTCTGCAGCCACTGCATCAGCCTCTCGTGTCCTCTCAAGCCTCACAAGGTCGCGTTGCCTCTTTCCATTAATTTCAGCCTCACGTGCTTCAAAGTCACGTCTCTCGCGTCTCTCTCGTTGGCTGGTTTTTGTACCTCGCTCTTCCCTTTCAAGTGCCTGGTGGCGTCGACGCTCAACGACCTCCAGATCGAGCTCCCGTTGGTGCTCGACCCTTCTCTCTCGCAGAGGCTCCTCCCTCTCTCTTTCCAGGCAAATTCTTCTCTCTTCCTCTGCATCCAACAGCTCCAGGTCACGCTCCCTTCTTTCGAGCTCCTCCCGGGGCTCCAGTTCCCGGGACACGCGATGGATCTTCACCTCATCTTCTGCTGCCAATACATCGGTCTCTCGTGTCCTCTCAAGCCTCACAAGGTCGCGTTGCCTCCTTCCATCGATTTCAGCCTCACGTGCCTCAAAGTCACGTCTCTCACATGTCTCTCTCTGGTTGATGGTGGCACCTCGCTCTTCCCTTCCACGTGCCTGGTGGCGTCGACGCTCAATGACCTCCAGATCGAGCTCCTGTTGTCGCTCGACCCTTCTCTCTTGCAGAGGCTCCTCTCTCTCTCTTTCCAGGCAAATTCTTCTCTCTTCCTCTGCATCCAAACGCTCCAGGTCACGCTCCCTTCTATTGACTCTGTCACGGGGCTCCAGTTCCCGGGACACGCGATGGATCTTCACATCAGCTTCTGCAGCCACTACATCCGTCTCTCGTGTCCTCTCAAGCCTCACAAGGTCGCGTTGCCTCCTTCCATCGATTTCAGCCTCATGTTCTTCAAAGTCACGTCTCACTCGTCTCTCCCGTTGGCTGGTTTTTGTACCTCGCTCTTCCCTTTCAAGTGCCTGGCGGCGTCGACGCTCAATGACCTCCAGATCGAGCTCCCGTTGGTGCTTGACCCTTCTCTCTCTCAGTGGTTCCTCCCTCTCTCTTTCCAGGCCAAGTCTTCTCTCTTCCTCTGCATCCAACAGCTCCAGGTCACGCTCCCTTCTTTCAAGCTCCTCCCGGGGCTCCAGTTCGCGGGACACGCGATGGATCTTCACGTCAGCTTCTGCTGCCACTACATCGGCCTCTCGTGTCCTCTCAAGCCTCACGAGTTCTCGTTGCCTCCTTCCGCTGACTTCAGCCTCACGTTCTTCAAAGTCACGTCTCTCGCGTCTCTCTGTCTGGTTGATGGTGGCACCTCGCTCTTCCCTTTCACGTGCCTGGCGGCGTCGACGCTCAATGACCTCCAGATCCAGCTCCTGTTGTCGCTCGACCCTTCTCTCTCGCAGAGGCTCCTCTCTCTCTCTTTCCAGGCAAATTCTTCTCTCCTCCTCTGCATCCAAACGCTCCAGGTCACGCTCCCTTCTATTGACTCTGTCACGGGGCTCCAGTTCCCGGGACACGCGATGGATCTTCACGTCAGCTTCTGCAGCCACTACATCCGTCTCTCGTGTCCTCTCAAGCCTCACAAGGTTGCGTTGCCTCCTTCCATCGATTTCAGCCTCATGTTCTTCAAAGTCACGTCTCACTCGTCTCTCTCGTTGGCTGGTTTTTGTACCTCGCTCTTCCCTTTCAAGTGCCTGGCGGCGTCGACGCTCAATGACCTCCAGATCGAGCTCCCGTTGTCGCTTGACCATTCTCTCTCTCAGTGGTTCCTCCCTCTCTCTTTCCAGGCAAATTCTTCTCTCTTCCTCTGCATCCAAACACTCCAGGTCACGCTCCCTTCTTTTGAGTTCCTCCCGGGGCTCCAGTTCCCGGGACACACGATGGATCTTCACGTTAGCTTCTGCTGCCACTACATCGGCCTCTCGTGTCCTCTCAAGCCTCACAAGGTCGCGTTGCCTCCTTCCGCTGACTTCAGCCTCACGTTCTTCAAAGTCACGTCTCTCGCGTCTCTCTGTCTGGTTGATGATGGCACCTTGCTCTTCCCTTTCACGTGCCTCCCGGCGTCGACGCTCAATGACCTCTAGATCCAGCTCCCGTTGTCGCTCGACCCTTCTCTCTCGCAGAGGCACCTCCCTCTCTCTTTCCAGGCAAATTCTTCTCTCTTCCTCTGCATCCAACAGCTCCAGGTCACGCTGCCTTCTTTCGAGCTCCTCTCGGGGCTCCAGTTCCCGGGACACGCGATGGATCTTAACCTCAGCTTCTGCAGCCACTGCATCAGCCTCTCGTGTCCTCTCAAGCCTCACAAGGTCGCGCTGCCTCCTTCCATCAATTTCAGCCTCATGTTCTTCAAAGTCACGTCTCACTCGTCTCTCTCGTTGGCTGGTTTTTGTACCTCGCTCTTCCCTTTCAAGTGCCTGGCGGCGTCGACGCTCAATGACCTCCAGATCGAGCTCCCGTTGGTGCTCGACCCTTCTCTCTTGCAGAGGCGCCTCCCTCTCTCTTTCCAGGCCAAGTCTTCTCTCTTCCTCTGCATCCAACAGCTCCAGGTCACGCTGCCTTCTTTTGAGCTCCTCACGGGGCTCCAGTTCCCAGGACACGCGATGGATCTTCACATCAGCTTCTGCTGCCACTACATCTGTCTCTTGTATCCTCTCAAGCCTCACAAGGTCGCGTTGCCTCCTTCCATCAATTTCAGCTTCACGTGCTTCAAAGTCACGTCTCTCACATGTCTCTGGCTGGTTGATGGTGGCACCTCGCTCTTCCCTTTCACGTGCCTCCCGGCGTCGACGCTCAGTGACCTCCAGATCGAGCTTCTGTTGTCGCTCAACCCTTCTCTCTCGCAGAGGCTCCTCTCTCTCTCTTTCCAGGCAAATTCTTCTCTCCTCCTCTGCATCCAAACGCTCCAGGTCACGCTCCCTTCTATTGACTCTGTCACGGGGCTCCAGTTCGCGGGACACGTGATGGATCTTCACATCAGCTTCTGCTGCCACTACATCCGTTTCTCGTGTCCTCTCAAGCCTCACAAGGTCGCGTTGCCTCCTTCCATCGATTTCAGCCTCATGTTCTTCAAAGTCACGTCTCACTCGTCTCTCCCGTTGGCTGGTTTTTGTACCTCGCTCTTCCCTTTCAAGTGCCTGGCGGCGTCGACGCTCAATGACCTCCAGATCGAGCTCCCGTTGGTGCTCAAACCTTCTTTCTCTCAGTGGCTCCTCCCTCTCTCTTTCCAGGCAAATTCTTCTCTCTTCCTCTGCATCCAACCGCTCCAGGTCACGCTCCCTTCTTTCGAGCTCCTCCCGGGGCTCCAGTTCGCGGGACACACGATGGATCTTCACGTCAGCTTCTGCAGCCACTGCATCAGCCTCTCGTCTCCTCTCAAGCCTCACAAGGTTGCGTTGCCTCCTTCCATCGATTTCAGCCTCATGTTCTTCAAAGTCACGTCTCACTCGTCTCTCTCGTTGGCTGGTTTTTGTACCTGGCTCTTCCCTTTCAAGTGCCTGGCGGCGTCGACGCTCAATGACCTCCAGATCGAGCTCCCGTTGTCGCTCGACCCTTCTCTCTCGCAAAGGCTCTTCCCTCTCTCTTTCCAGGCAAATTCTTCTCTCCTCCTCTGCGTCCAAACGCTCAAAATCACGCTCCCCTCTATCGACTCTTTCACGGGGCTCCAGTTCCCGGGACACGCGATGGATCTTCACGTCAGCTTCTGCATCCACTGCATCAGCCTCTCGTGTCCTCTCAAGCCTCACAAGGTTGCGTTGCCTCCTTCCATCAATATCAGACTCATGTTCTTCAAAGTCACGTCTCTCGCGTGTCTCTGTCTGGTTGATGGTGGCACCTCGCTCTTCCCTTTCACGTGCCTGGCGGCGTCGACGCTCAATGACCTCCAGATCGAGCTCCTGTTGGTGCTCGACCCTTCTCTCTCGCAGAGGCTCCTCCCTCTCTCTTTCCAGGCAAAGTCTTCTCTCTTCCTCTGCATCCAACAGCTCCAGGTCACGCTGCCTTCTTTCGAGCTCCTCACGGGGCTCCAGTTCCCGGGACACGCGATGGATCTTCACATCAGCTTCTGCAGCCACTACATCCGTCTCTCGTGTCCTCTCAAGCCTCACAAGGTCGCGCTGCCTCTGTCCATCGATTTCAGCCTCACGTGCTTCAAAGTCACGTCTTTCATGTCTCTCTCTCAGGTTGATGGTGGCACCTCGCTCTTCCCTTTCAAGAGCCTCGCGGCGTTGACGCTCAGTGACCTCCAGATCGAGCTCCCGTTGGTGCTTGACCCTTCTCTCTCTCAGAGGCTCTTCCCCCTCTCTTTCCAGGCAAATTCTTCTCTCTTCCTCTGCATCCAACAGCTCCAGGTCACGCTCCCTTCTTTCAACCTGCTCTCGGGGCTCCAGTTCCCGGGACACACGATGGATCTTCACCTCAGCTTCTGCTGCCACTGCATCAGCCTCTCGTGTCCTCTCAAGCCTCACAAGTTCTCGTTGCCTCCTTCCACTGACTTCAGCCTCACGTTCTTCAAAGTCACGTGTCTCACGTCTCTCTGTCTGGTTTATGGTGGCACCTCGCTCTTCCCTTTCACGTGCCTGGCGGCGTCGACGCTCAATGACCTCCAGATCGAGCTCCCGTTGTCGCTCGACCCTTCTCTCTCGCAGAGGCTCCTCTCTCTCTCTTTCCAGGCAAATTCTTCTCTCTTCCTCTGCATCCAAATGCTCAAAATCACTCTCCCTTCTATCGACTCTTTCACGGGTCTCCAGTTCCTGGGACACGCGATGGATCTTCACGTCAGCTTCTGCTGCCAATACATCGGTCTCTCGTGTCCTCTCAAGCCTCACAAGGTCGCGTTGCCTCCTTCCATCGATTTCAGCCTCACGTGCTACAATGTCACGCCTTTCGCGTCTCTCCCTTCGGTTGGTTTTGGCACTTTGCTCTTCCCTTTCACGTGTCTCTCGGCTGCGGCCCTCATAGACCTTGATGTCCCGCTCCCTTTCTTTATCAGTCCTCCTTTCCTGTTCTCTATCTTTCCTCCTTGTATCATCTCTTTCTTCCCACTCCTTAATCTTATGGTTTTCACGCTCACTTTCCACATGTTCAAGGTTATTTTCCTCATTTGTACCTTGTTCATCGATACGTCTTTCTAGCTCACAGGTCTCACAGTACCTGAGGTCAATTTCTAGTGGTTCCTTTATGTATGACTGATGCGGGACTCTCGAATCCAGGCATTCAGGCTCACGTAGCTTGTCGCTCTTCTCTTCAAGTGCTCTTTGTTCCAGCTCACGTAGGTGGTAGCGGCTTCTCTCTTCTGTGAGTAATTCAGGTTTACGTGGCTGATTGTCACTTCCTCTATCTGCTTCTTGTGGCCGCTGGTTTCTGTCATCCTTTGCTGGTCCTACTGGCTCATGTGGCTGACGGCTACCCCACCGGTTTTGCAGTGGTCTTGTTTCATAGCCCTGGCTGCGACTCCTTATGTCTGCCAGTTGGTCTTGCTGTGGCCCCTCTTGATATTTCCTCTCACCTCTCCGCAGCCTGGGCTCCTGTGCTTCCAAGCTTCTGTGCTTGCGGAGTTGTACATCTCCTCGTCTGTTCGGCTCTGGTGGCTGACGTCTTCTCTGGCTGTTCCGTTGGTCGCATGGCTCTCGGCTTCGTTCTTCATACACCTGAGGGATTGGCTCCCTTCGCTCACTGCTTCGTATTGCATCATTTACGCTTTGTGTGTTACGTTGTTGGTAACTCCCCATTTCCTCTAGTGTTTCAAGCTCATTGACTCTGGTGTCTCGTTGCAGTTCAGGTTCACAGAGGGGATGGTCATTATTCTCACAGGTTTGTTCTTCCTCCTCCTGGAGCTGTCGACTGCTCCCTCTGTTCTTAATTTCAGGCTCTTGGTGCAACTTGCCACTGGATGTCAGCTTTGTTCTTTGCAGAAGGTATGGTCCCTTCGGCTGGAACCAGTAGCAGGCTTTAGCCACTCTGAACACCAAAAGCAGGAATTCATTAAAATCAATATGCCCATCACCATCCCACTCCAGAAACTGCAGAATCTTGTCAATTGTCTGAGGGTCACGTGGCTTCTGCAGGGAAAAAACACACAGGGGAACAAAAAAGGTGGCTTAAGTTTCCTGCTCTTTGTCAGGGAAATGCAAAGACAGGGACAACTGCAATCTTTTCTCCTTCCATCTTACATAGCTTCACTTCTATAGTTCATCAGCAGTTCCATGCCTTTGTTCTCCACTTTCCTGGTTGTCCCCTGGCTGCAGCTGCCCGGCTGTCTTTGGGCACATACTGAATCCCTCTACTGGACCCATTTCCTTCCTACCTTTGAAAGAAAAGCATACCTCCCCATGGCTCATCCTCCAGCTTTTGCCCATTGTCTTATGGAAAAAATGAGTTGGAGGATCTGTCAAAGCAGTCAGTGCAAAGGAACATAACTGCTGCTCCCCTTTGCTGAAAGCCTTCCAATCCCACCATCATAAGAATAACCTCCTCTCCAGGAGATTTTTGTAGTCCCTGCACTCCAGCCTGGGCCTCAAGCCCTCCCCCTTGCAGCAGCACTCACAGCTATGACATCTGCAAACTCCCTCTGGATGAACTCTTGCATCTTCCTGTGGCTGAGGTTGGAGCAGTCTCCATCTTCCTTCGCATATTTGTGAAAGAGGCTGATGATGGTGGAAATGCCGTCTAAGAAGCGAGACATCTTCCTGCAGATTCAAGCAAGCCTGCAAGAAAAGGAACAGGCCTAAGGATTTGTGATTTGTTTGCCTCTGAGCATGGAAAGAGGAAGGAGAATTGCTGCGGTCAGGCTGCGTGCGTTAACGGGATGCTAGGTGCCATGACCCATGTGTCTGCTCCTATGCCACGGTGAGCTCTGTTTCACCAGGGCACTGGGAAGAAATCCAAATGCTATGGGGTTTTAGTGGGATGGGGAGTGTCTTCCAAGTGCGTACTAACGTACTTGAATGACGTTTGATAGGGGATGGCAGGATACCTGCATTTATGGATCGCAGGGAGGGAACTGGGGATGGTGACTCAAGAGATGCCCCAAGAATCTGCCTGCACCCATGGGGCTATACCAGCTACTCGTTTTTCCAGGGTCCATGCTGCTGTCTCTGCCTGGTACTGAGCTACAATGGCTTCTTTGAAGCAGCTTAGAGGCTGGCATGGCCTGAGACAAGATCTAGCTGGGTCAGAGACAGAGTACTTACAGGGAATTAAAACAAGCCCTGTGGCTGATGCTCCTGTGACCAGTAATAATACAAAACAACTGATAAAGCTTTCATTACAACTGAAGTTATTGGCAGATAGATTTTTGTCAGATCACTTAGGTCAGAGCTGCTTATTTAGTTTTACTGAGATCTGCTTGGCAGAAAGCAGTGCTCCTGTTGGAGCTTTGTGTCTGGAAACCTCAAAAACCACCTTATTCCTTCCTCCTCGCTGGATCCCCAAGCTTGTATCAGTGCTGAGATCTCAGCGTGCAGCTGGGGAAGCTGTGACCTGTCTGCCTTGCCATCTCTCCAACGTGCGCACACACATGCACACGCACCTGCATATGAAATCCTGTAGAGAACATAAAAATTCTCCAATCTGCTCATTCCAGCAGGGACCTGACCCCAGACCAAAGTAAGGCACAAAGCCTGGCTCCCTCTTTCATTTTCCCTATGAGAAAAGCTGCCTCTAGACATGGCCGCATAACGACATCATGCAGATATCCCAATAACACAAAACAACACCTCAATGAATATAAATGCAAAAGACTCAGAAAATACTGTGGCACGAATGACGCTGCCACCCAACACAAATCCTATAGAAACCATATGTCCTTGCCCAGCAAAGGGTACGTTTCAGGAGTGACTTACCCAGATCGCCAATGGGATCAAGTGGGATTCCTGTGAAGCCGTGCGGAGTGATCGGAGGACCTGAGTGCTTTTATAGGGTCCTTGACGGAGCTACGGAAAGGAGACACCCTTTGTGGACGTTCTCCTGATTCATCTTTGGCCAAGCCCAGCTGCACCTTCACGTCCTCAAACGGGTTATTTAACTTATCATCCCCTTACCTATCATTTTAACCCAGAAATAGCAGTTGCCATGTGGCAATTCAGGCACTGGCTGGTTCCACCTCATCCAGGCTGTAAAGTTATTTTACAGGCTGATTGTATTTCAGATTTTAAAGAATTTAGAGTAGCTATAAAACATATATATGCATGAATGGGAGGGTGCATTTTAATGTATGTGTGCATCTGTGTAGGTATGAATTTATATACGTACCATGCACACACACTCAAAAATACCACCAGGATGAAATTTTGAGGATGACACAGAAGTGCTGGTGGTAGCAGAGCTCACTATGAGCAGAATGGGGACAGTTGAGATCTCTATGGCCCATGAACTTGATGCCACAATACCAGAGATTATTTTTGTTTGCTTTTTGTGCAATTCCCTTAGCACTTTTGGCCTGAGGTTGATGGGATTTGTGTCTGGCTTTTGCTCACAGAAGGACAGAAGAAGACCCAAGTGCTACAAAAACGGTGAAGTGCAGGTGAACAGCAGTGAGATTCCCAAATCCTCCAGATCTCAGCTTGTGTGGGGTCCTTGTAGAGTGTTTTAATTTTGGTAACTTAGAAGCTTCTTATCCTTATGTAATATTGAATATTCTTATTCTTAAATTATGTTGTATTATCCAGGTTTCTGTTGGAATAAACCCAAACCCAAACAGAATACTTTTAAATGCAAAAGTTTGCAAAATGACTTTTCGTACAAGGAGATGTCTGTTCAATAAGCAGCGACTTCACATGGACATGTTTTTCATATTAGATGTTCTCCACAAATTACTTTTATTTCATCTTTACTTGATCTTCCATTACAAATAAAAGCAGAAGCCTTTCTGCTGGGAGGTCGATTCATGTTGAGTCTTCATCTGTTGCCCTAGGCAGCTTTCACTGTAATTGCCTCTACTTGGGGAAAAAAAAAAAAAAAGAAGAGAATTCTTTTAACAGTAAATTAATTAGAGACCATCTGATTCCTTTATTCACACCATCTCTCCCAGTACATTGAGCAAATAAGGAAGATACCAGCCATGCCACCTGGGCCTCTGCTGTTGGTTTTGGAGGTAGGATGCTGCCTTGACAAGCATGACGGAGACATTGCAGAGAGCCTTTAGAGCATGAACTTGTCACGCAGCCTCGGGTGAGTGGCTCATCTGTAAGGTAAGATCATACTGGGTGTAGGAGCCTCATTAATTAGTGCTGGTAACACCTTGGGGATACTCATACAAGTACGTATGAAGGATCGTTACTAACCATACTTCATTTTTGAGCTTTTTTTCAAGATTAAATTATACTTGTGCAAATTATACCCCACCTGTGGGATAATAATACCCTTGGGAAACTGTAATTTCATGGTGGATTGGAGTTATTATTAAAATTAGAGTATTACAGTGTGGCTTGGTGTCCTGTAACAGTCTGTAATCCCCCCGCAAGGGCTGGGGCAGTGCGGGATGGTCGGGTGCCATGTTAGCCACGTGGAAGATTCTGGGTATCGATGTAGGAAAAGGTACATTGTGTTTCATCCATGCGCACGTCATCCCGTGCTTTGCTGCCTTTCTGAGGACAAAGCAACGAGTTTCAAAGCACGTTCTTGGCAGTACTGGAACTCCCTTTGTTTCAAGGGCTTGGTTTTCCCAAAGGTGCTTTAATTAGATGGGACTTGGGGAGGGTTTTAAGCTTTTAAAAAGCTTAAAACCCCCAAGAGGGTGGGCTCCATCCTCCTGCTTCTCACCCAGTTCTGTGCCCATCACCATTTATATAGGTGACCAAACTTCTATTGCATTTGATCTTAGAGGAACTAGGCTCCTCATGTGGTGTATAAATGACCTTTTTTAATCCAGCTTCTTCCTGGCTTGCAAGACTGTTAGACAGGTATTTGTGTCAGTGGGATAATTTTAATGTTCTCCTAAAATGAATCAAAAAAACCCTCTTAATTTCAAATATGATACTCCTGATGGCAAAAAACTGTGTTATTCAGAACAGAGCACATAATTAACATGTACCTAACAGGGCTTGGTGTCTGCCTGAACTGGGAGGTCAGTCTTTATGTTGATGCTGCAGAAGGTGGCAGCTGGAGACAGACTGACTACAGGGGATGGTTTGGTCTGGTGATTTTAGACCCTAAGCCAGAGCTAATAGGAAGCAAAGAGCTATTGAACTGAGACCTGTTTTACAAGAAAAATGGTGTTCTTTGGAAAACGATGTTTTGAGGGATGTCTCAGATGGAATAGGGTTTTGACGGATAGGTGATGGAATTTAAGCCTTGACTCTCCCATTGCGTGTCCACAGCTGTCACGAGAACTTATTATTGCTGCTATGTTTTCTCAGTAGGAGAGCAGAGCGATGTACTTTGTGTCTAATACTTTTCATTTTAACATTGTCACTTTTAAAGCGACTCATTTTAGGGGCGGCCGTTCTGGGGGTAGTTTTGAAACGCAGGTTTTTCTGATTCAGCACTCAGCAAATTGTGAAATTCTGGGGTGTCCCAGAGGAATGACGTTTTATTTCCCAGTGAGGTCTCTGCGTGCTGCTTGTCACCGGCCACAGAGCAGGAGGTGCGGGTGCATTTATCATGTGCTGATTTGGTGATAGGTCACAAGTGAAAGATAACATGGTGAAAAACAGGCTGAGCATCACCCTCCCTGCGGGATCCCGAGTCCTGGGCCTGTCTGGTGGTCCAGCACGTCTGAACCCCCTAATAAACCCCACTGACTTCACCGGACTGCTCATACCCTCAGAGTTATTCACATTCCGATGTGCATGTTTGGACAAGTGCCTGAGGACCTGGCACCCTGAACTGAATCTGAGTTTGAGATTGGCTCTGTTTGTGCATAGTATTTCTTGTCAGTTTTTATCTCTGGCTTCCCAGTTGTCGTTGGGGCTGGATGTACCCGAATCATCATTTTTGCTGTTTTTAATATATTTCCACAATTTTCTTTGGAGAATTCCATAGCTAATAGGGATTTTTGATCTTCATAGCATGCTTCACATTCCCCTTGCTTCTGAGATTATTAATAAGTGAGGATGAATAGGACAAATCCCTCCCATTCAGTTGTAAGCAGCTGTTTATTTTTCTCAGAGCAGACATGAAAACCACCCAGAGCAGATGGATGCTGTCAGGAGTCTGCTCAGGTCGGCCATGCTGTCGTGTCAACCAAAACTTCTCCCCTCTGTGAAGACATCTCTCTCAGGGATGTCCCATCCCTGCCTGCGGGGAGCAATCCATTCACCTCAGCTAAATTGCAAAGGCAGCTCAGCTGCAGCTCCTCGAGGCTATCCATCCCCAGGACACACCTGCCTCTCTGCAGCCATCCTTCCATCTGCACCCTGGAGCAATCTGGCTGTATGTCGTGTGAGGGATGGATGCACCACATCATGGTTGCTCAGAGCCAGGCTGAGGGCACGCTTGCAGTGATACACCAGGACACTGTGCTCGTATGCCTTCAGTTTTATTGCTTTGCTTACACAGGCAGAGGTAGCCTAGCACAGGGTAAGAGGGAAGGTCTCTAAGCATGCATAGCTCAGCACAAACCAGGAGTGGGAAGCTCAGGGCTGACATGGAATTGGACGAGATGTGACAAGCAGAAATGAGAAAACCAGGGTGGGATTGGGCAAACTTTACCTCCTTGCATGGAGCAACAGCCTCAGAAGGAGGAGGCTTGTTTCAGCCTTTACTGCTTTGGTGGCCACTGATACAGAGATTCCAAGAGCTGTTGCTCTATAGCAGGTTGGCTCTGGTGATGAGTGTCGTGCTGCTGCTGTGCTGGACAAGATGGAGATTCTGCCCCACCGTGTTCCTGCTCCAGCACTTTGGCTTCAGGGTGCTGGGGGTAAGCTGGGTCCTGCTCTGCGGACTCTGTCTTTGGACTCTGAGGGAGGTTTGAACCCTGTTCTGGTGCCTCAGTTTCTTGGGCCTGGTGGATTTTAGGGTCCTGCTTTGGTGTCTCAGTATCTTCAGCCTTATGGGTATTTCTGTCTTGTGCTGGGGTTGCAGTGTCCAGGATTTCACTTCTCTCTGGATCCCTTTCTGGTACTTCAGTCCCATCATCCTGATGGGTGTCCTTGTCCTGCTTTGGTGTCTCACCCTCCTCAGTTTGATGGGTTGCCTGGTCCTGCTTTGATGTCTCACCTTCCTGGGCTTGACGGGTGTTGTAGTCCTGCTCTGGTGGCTCAGCCTCCTGTGTCTGATGGGTGTCATGGTCCTGCCCTGGTGTCTCACCCTCCTGGGTTTGGTGGGTGTCCCCATCCTGCTCTGGTGTCTCACCCTCCTGGGTTTTATGGGTATCTTGGTCCTGCTTTGATGTCTCACTGGTCTGGGTTTGATAGTTGTCTGGATCCTGTGTCTCAGTGTCCTCAACCTGATTGTCCACACCCTGCTCAGGGACCTGTTGATTGTGGTGGGCTGTGTGCGGCTCCGATGGCTGCTCCCCACTTGCCTTCTCTTGTGATGTCACCTCTTGACCATCTTCTGGTGCCTGGTGCTGCTGGAGTGGCTTGTAACAAGCCTTGGCCACATGGAAAACCAGGCTGAGCAACTCGCTGAAGTCAACCCTGCAGTTGCTGTCATCATCCAGGAAGCACAGAACCTGCTTGACGGTTTGGGGGTCCTGGGGGTTCTGTAAAGACACAAATGGTGTTGGAAAGCCTGTGAGCTATTCGCACCCTCTCTCTAGGGGCTCTCAAGCAGTCTCAAGGTAGAAATCCTGCCCCATGCTCCCAACCCTGGTGGCTCATGTTGCTCCCTGCACTGATCTCTATGAGCTGCTGGCATTGAGAGAATGAAGAGCTTCTCCTCTTCCCTGCAGATCCTGGGAACTGGAGGCATCTGCGCCTATCCAAGGAAGCCAGGGGTTCTGTACTCCCTCATGGGAGTGCATGGCTTTACGAAACCTACCGTACCCCTGATCCCAGCCCAGGGCCATACCAGTGGTGGGTCCCAGCTACAGGGCTGGATCCTCACCTCTATTGCATCCCCAAACTCCTGCTCAAAGAGCTGCCTCAGCTCCTCCCTGTTCAAGGGGCTGCAGTTGCCGTCGCTTCTGGTGCACGTGTAAAAAGCAGCAATGATGCCATTGATGTTTTCCTGGAGCTGGGCCATCTCCCTGCAAAACTGAGGCAACCTGCAAGAAAACACAGACAAAAAGGGGTTGGTTGGTTGGTTTTTCATATAAATTACTCTTAACCAACACAGCTGAACAGCTAGAAAGAGGAAAAAGAGACAGAGAAGGGCACAGATGAAATGGAATCAGTGTAAGAGAAAGAGGGAGCAAGAAGGATCTCACAGGAAAACCAATCTGACAAACGAAACTGAGCTGCAGAGATGGTGGGGGTGTGGACCAACAAGTGATGGTTGGAGAGGTAAAGGACAGTGAGGCTCAAAAGGCTGGAGCCACATGGTAAGAGAGGAGGGAAAAGAAAATATCCCATTTCTCTTTCTCTGGAGCAGAGCAGAGCAGAGCTGTGAATGGAAGCTGCCTCTAACAGTCCATCAATAGTGTCATTCCAGATCTCATTATTACTTTTGTCCTTTAAGGGATCTCTGCATTGCCAGCTCCAGGGACACTGTTTCAGCTAGAAGCTTCTGCTTTCCTGCTGGTAGAAAAACCAGACAGACCAAAAAGCCTGCCCAAGCTTACCTGGATGAGGAGCAGGAGTGCTGAGCTTCAGGAGCACAGTCTGGAGCAGAACAGCTCTTGGTCATCTTATATAGAGTTCAGGATCACAGCCCGCATCTCCCAGAGGAGACACCCTTAGAGACACCCTTTCAGCAGGGTGATCTGAAACGTCTTCCACCCATTTACATTGTCATGCCCATGTCTTCATTTGTCTCTTTCTTATTAGCTTTGGCTCTGATGCTTTTCTCTGTTGTTAAAGTAAGATCTTTCCTAAGCCTGCCCCACCTGCAGACATATTTCAGAGGGGTTTAACAGAAAAGGCTATTTTTAGCACTGGGTGATTTAGTTTAAGATGATGCCCAAGCAACGCCCGTGCCTCTTGTGTTTGCAAACGTGTTTTGTGAAAAGCAGATCTCCAGTGACTGACACGCAGGGGAGGAGACGGTCTGGGAGTGCTTGCAGGCTGAATAGAGAGGAAAGAAAACGAAGGAAAATGAGGATATTGTGATGCTAAGATCAAAGTGATTCCTGCCAGGAACTCCCTCTTCTGGATCCCAACGGGAGGTAGGCATCGAGAGAAGAAATCTTTTCAAACAGTGCCACCAAGTGGGACTCGGAGTAGGACAAGGGGTGACATCGCTTGTCCCAGAGCCAGCAATCAGCTGGGGACTGCGGGCATGGTGGCCAGCAAGCACCCATTACCCAGCAGGGGAAACTGAGGCACACGGCAAGGAAGGGCTTAAACTCCTCGTGCTGTGGTCAGCATCAGTCCCTGCTGCAGCTCAGTGGGTGAGGCTACTGGGGCCTAGTGGGTTAACTGGGAGCCCCGAAGACCTAAATGAAAGTTATTTCTCTTTGCTCAGGGACATCAATTTTATTGTGCTCCTCTTGTGCTCCAAATGCAGTGTGACCTGAAAGCTGCTCTCTAAGCCCTTTGGGTCAGGCTTTAAGGTGTCTTCACTTAAGCCTTCTTTTTTTTTTTTCTATATTTTTTCTATTTTTGAAGTCTTTCTTTTGGCCAATATGTGGTTAATAAGAAAGACTGGGAAAAAGGTTATATCATAAATCCATGTAGCTTTTAAAGTATGAGGAGTTTTAGGCACAGAAAATGAAATACAGCCAGTTTTGTGCTGAAAAAACCCAAACAACCCGCTTTCTGGAAAATACCCTGCCTTGCTCCATGCCTGGCAGGGGAAAGGTGAATGAGTCCCACTTTATTCATGTGAAATCCTTAAGGTGCGCATAGAAGAGCTTGGAGAGGATAAATATGGGAGGCTGCAGGATCAGGAGGGCTTTGCAGGTTGTCCTGTCCTTTGGCGGTGTGCTGAGTCCTCTTGAGTTCAGGACTTACTTTTTCTCTGGCTGGGGCTATCTCAAGCCATGCCCTTTCTTTCAACTGAGAGGGTTCTGATCTGTGACAGTTTCAATCCCAGCAGCCATCAAGCAGCTCTTCCATCAGCCCAAGTGTGCAGTACCCAAGGAGGAGCCGTGATCTCCTGGGCAGTACCTTTTGCTTTAGTTCCTATCCATCTTTCTATCATACCTGCATGCAAACACACAATTTTCTTCTAATATTGGCATATTGCTGCTAACCTTCTCATTAAGTTGCAGTGAGGGTGGGAGACAATTGCTTTGGAGAGGCAAAAGCATTTAGAGTGTTCTTCCTGGGGCAAGAACGGGTTCTTACTGAAGTTATTTGTAGTCAAACCACCCAGCCCCTGAGCAAGGTGGTTTTTCCTCTTGTAGACAACTGCAGTCAGTAACAGACTTCTGTTGTACTGGATTCCATGAAGCAGGGAAGGTTAGAAGGTTCAAGTGAAGAAGTTAAAAGCACTGCAGGACAGAAAAGAGTAAAATAACGCTTTTTAGCAGAGCTTGCACTGAATTATGTTGAATCCAGGGAGTGGAAAGCAGGTGAGACTTGCTCTAACAGAATCACCTGGCAATCTGTGGATGGTTATGCAAGAGCTTTAAAGTAATTGAGTACCTGATTTGGTGATTCAGCAATCATGGTGATGGCTGAAGACCCACAAATTAGGTCAGGCTTAAAGTTCTCCTGCTGCATTTTAATGTGTAGAACTTCAGGTAAACCAACCTCGTCTGTAATTCTTTTTGTTGAAAGTAGAACTAGAAAACTCGTGCCTCTTCGGGGAGCCCAAGGTTGTTTTCCTCTCTTCTGCCTTGTGGAAAAGAAGAATTGCTCAGCTCCTGGGTTAATGGAGGGGGGAAAGAAAGAAGCAGATGAATCGTGGAATCATAGAATAGTTCGGGTTGGAAAGGACCTTAAGATCATCCAGTTCCAACCCCCCTGCCATGGGCAGGGACACCTCACACTAAACCAGGGCACCCAAGGTGCTGAAGGAGGGAAGGGTGCACAAAAAGAGTGTTGCCAGCAGTTGGGGTGTGTGATTAATGTAAAGGCAGGGAATGGTGCTGAGCTGCTATGGGCTGTTAGGACTTGGGGGTGTTTAAGGTTTGGAGCTGGGTCAGAGTGGTCAGGTTTCTCAACAAAAAATAAAGCAGGAAATTACTGTTTATTGCTGCCTGACTCCGTTCCTGCTCAGCAGGGAAAAGCAGAAGTGTAGGTTAGTGCTGCTGAAGGAAGGAAAGTGCTGCACTGAAGGTTTAATGTGAGAAAGCATTTAAACACAGGGTTTGGAGAGCTGGAAATCTTCGGGGCTCAAATCTTCGGGTTTGCTTTGGGAGGAGAAAGCAAATGCCTGGTTAGTGCCTGCACTTTGAGCAGCCAGGGGACCCAGAGGTTTTATCTGTGGTTGCTGCCTTCCTAACGTGCCTCCTTTGCCTTTTGCTCCTGTTATTTCCTTCTTTATTCTGCCTGCTGGGGGCAGTTTACACTAAGGTGCAGGCTTAACTCCGTTTTCTTTGTTCTATACATGAAGCACGGTTCCTAAACTTTCCCGGGGCTAGAGCCCATTATACAAAGTTTTATCACCCCATCTATGTGGTTATCAGGAGTTAAGCTAATTGGAATAAAACACTTTATTTTCCTATGCTGCCTAGGCATTTCAGCAAGTTACTTTGCTTGCAGCCTTCTTAATTGCTAATTCATTGTGAGGTTTAAGAAGTGTAATACCTCAGCTTTTCTTTAATACATGCTTTCACCTTTTTACATATTAATGAGCATATTTATCATATTTCTTCAGAGATAATTAATTTCTAAATCTTCCTGTGGTAATGCACTCAAAGCCAGCTAGCAATGCTAGCTCAAAGACTTTCTGCATTTGACTAATCCCACAATTAAAATAAGGAAATAATCTTTTGGCAGAAACAAGGCTTTTAAAGATATTTTTATTGCTTTCAGGCAGTTTTAATACATATGTTAACTGTAATTTTGGTGAAGTTAACCAAACCCTTCCTTTGTACTGCAGAACTCACAAAGGGGCATAGGTATCTCTGATTATCTTGCTCCTCTCACCCATAATCTTCTTGTGAAGACAGGTCTTTTTCTGGGCTCATAAATTATCTGTCTTTTTAAATTCAAAACATAAAAGCTATCATTGGATAAATTATTTTTCTGAAGGTGCAAAGGAGCTCCCAAGTTTACATAAACCGCTTTAGGTCTGGAAGATGAAAGGAAATGAAGCTGTGAATGCTCCATCCCTGGCAGCGTTCAAGGCCAGGTTGGACAGAGCCTTGGGTGCCATGGTTTAGAGTGAGGTGTCCCTGCCCATGGCAGGGAGGCTGGACCTAATGTCCTTTCCAACCCTAACTATTCCGTGATCGTGTATGTAGCCAGCCAGTGCATTGAAAGCACGTAGGAAATTCTGGATCTCATTTTAAGCAAATCTTTAGCATTCAGAGACTAAGAATAAGCCTAACATGGAAACAGGGCAGTGAGGAAGATGCAATGACATTATCCCACATTTAGTGTTCTGAAGAATTATTTCACCTCCCTCTGAAGGCGCCTGCTTTTCACTGTAAGGAGGAGGAACGCTGGTGATGCTCCTCTTTGATTTTCTTCCCCTATTGTCTCATTCTTAGGTTGCAGCCCCCCCTCCTGCCATGTGCAGGGAGTCTGGCTGGGGATGGAGGCAGCAGCACTTTGCTTCTGCCACCTGTGGAGCTTGCTGCCTTCTCCTGGGGCTGACAGCAGAGGAGATGGGATGGGGCAGGCCAGGGCAGCTGGCTCGGTGTTGGGCTCTGCCAGCTTGCTCCACTTGAAAGCTGAGGGTTTGGTGGAGACCTGAGTCACTTCTTGTGGCCGTGGTGGAAGTGAGTCACGGGCTGCACTCATTTCGGCTGCTCCCCTTGGTGGTGGGGACAATTTTGGTTCCTTTGCCCGTTAGTTTCCTCACTGCCCAGCACATCACCAGGAGAATTTCTGGTTTTCTAGAATTGCTAGTTTGGGTTTTTTTTTTTGGTTGTTTTGTTGGCTTTGTTTTTGGGGAAAGCTGCCATTTTCAAGCAGTCCCAGGTTTAGTCTCTTCTCTGGTTGGGGTGCAAAGCTGCTGTCCTGAAAAGCAGCTCTGGCCACAAGGATGGCTGCAGGAGCATTGAGGCCATGGGGACAGGAAGCAACCAAGAAGTGCTTGGCAGTGGTTGTGCTGCAACAATGGGAGCGACGTCTAGAGCAGAGGGTGGAAAGGGGCAGAGAGGACGTGTTGGGAAACACAACCTGATAGAAACCCCACCAAAGCCAGGCTGGCAGTGTGGTGTATCTGGCTGGGCAAGGTGCCGCTGGGCAGGAACAAGGTGTTGTGTTGGGCTGGCAGCCAAGGGCTAGAGCGGGTGCTCTGGGGCAAGACAGAACTTGCTGGGCAGTGATGTGTGTCTGGCTGTGTTATGGAAGCACCCAATGAGGTGAACAATGCAGGTCTGGGAGCTGCTTGCACAAGGCTTGTGGGATGGCAGCAGGGGGGAGATCACCTTGTCCTGTCCTGTGCTACTTGTGCTGCTTGCATGAATGCAACTCCTGCCTGCTCCTCTTTTTTTTTTTCCAGAGCAATGTACAGACAGGGAAGTCACATTCACATTGCTCTTTATTTTTTTTTCATAGGGTTCCTCTTTCTTTAGCCTGTCTTTCCCAAGAAATAAAGCTTCTGTTCTCCACTTCTAATATCCTAACCTGTTATTTGCAAGCAGATTTGACACAGTGGTATGGTTCGAACAACTGCTG